TATGAGAGGCAGGAGCCAGCAATTTATGGTGAGTAAAGCTAGAGTATAGACCTGTATTTTGCACGTTTCAATTTAAGTTTAACTTATCTAGTAAAAAATGGCATCATTTTGAAAAAAAAGCGGTCTAAGTTACCCCATTTTACGGTACTGTTCCATGTGTAATTTTATTTGTATACAGAGTAATTTAAATGAGAATATTTTAGTTCTTTTCATTATCATGGATGGAAATGGAAATTTGATTCTTTTTATTTAGTTTTAATAGCTTCAAACGATCTTAATATTTTGAGATGAATGACTGTGATAATTTCTATTTTTATTAATATTTAAATTTGATTAATAAGTTTATATCTTGTGTATATACATTTTTTATTGATTGAAGTAATTCATCATTACTGAAAGAGGATTCTGTCATGTAAAATTTAAAAACTTTGGCTCAAAAATTGAATTGTGTCTTTAAAAGTACCTAAATAAATATTTTCAGGTCTCTTCAGATACTTTAAACATCTGTAATGACTGTATCCTAATTTTTAATTTTTACATGTCTCTTTTTTGGACTTTCTTAGTTAAATGCTCCTTAAAGGCTGTCACACTTAGAGTATTAAAAGTCACTTAGTAACATTGAATTGTTTTAAAGTTGAATAGTTTTCCAGCATTTTTGCTTGCTTCCGTCAATAAAATTATTTTGAATGTTATGACTGTTTTTCATGACTAAGTAATCTACTGCAATTTTTTCCTTGAAAATTAATACCTAAGTAACCATTTTTTCCCAGAAACCTAGCCTTGATTACAGAATGTGAAACTTATTTGTATAATACCTTTGTAATAGGTACCGGCTTGTTCACTTGTCAGTGCCTCATATATGTATAGTTATGCATAATGCATAGAATTTCAACCAAGTGTGGCAGATTTGAATATATTTTTTACTGTGTTTTGGCTGCTTTAATGCTACTAAAGAAAAAAATTTAATCAATTTTTACTGACTCAATGCTTTTGATAACTTGCAGGTGGATGGTGTACTTCTCAAACTCGCAGTGCATGGCCGTGCTGGCAACCGAGACAGATTGGAAAAACTAGTGAAAGAGTGGACTGCTATTCCTGAAGCTCACGAGCAGGTGACACATTTATTCATGGAATGAAAAATTGATTTATACAATTCTATGCATAGAGTTTCTCATCTTTTCAGGACAGACACATTTATTCATGGAATGAAAAATTGATTTATACAATTCTATGCATAGAGTTTCTCATCTTTTCAGGAAAGGAAATTTGAAAAGAAACCTTTGACCAATAGCCGTTGTTATTTTTTATTTACATCTAGCATTACATACATAAAAGTTATATATAATTGGCAACTGTAATTACAGAGGGAACTTCGTTGGTCTCTGCTGTGCTTGCTGCTGGAGCTGAGTTATAACCCTACAAGTCATCACGTCTCTCCATCACCCTCTTCCAACCATCACGTCTCTCCATCACCCTCTTCCAACCATCACATCTCTCCATCACCCTCTTCCAACCATCAAGTCTCTCCATTACCCTCTTCCAACCATGTTTCTCAATGGCCTGCGGAGACACAGCGGAGCGGCTCACGTATCGAAGCAAACCTCCTACAGCAACTGCTGCCTGATACGCTCCCGCCCTTGCTGCCGGATGAGCCCCTCTCTGTGAGAAGAATGATCCAGAAACTATAGTTTTGAATTGCTCAATAAGAGGTTTTGAACTGCTAAATAAGAGGTTTTGAACTGCTAAATAAGAGGTTTTGAACTGCTCAATAAGAGGTTTTGAACTGCTAAATAAGAGGTTTTGAACTGCTGAATAATAGCTTTTGAACTGCTAAAGCTAATAAATTCTCAAAAACATAGTATTTGGAATTTCTATGCAAGAGTTTAATATTCTAGAATCTATTGTATTTTGAATTTCTATATAAGAATTTAACATTCCGGGAACAGGGGAACTAGTATAGCATTTTGAATTTTGGTATTATGCACAACATTATTTTACTTTTCTATGAAAACATGGATTTTAATGGATGTCTGATTTCCGGTGGCGCCAGTAGATCGTAATTTTAGAAGAATTTATGATTATGCAGGTGTAAACTTCCACAATGTGAATTAATTCATTTCTGCCTTACAGGATTGGTCGGATGCAGATGACGAACCTGAAGATGGAAATACAAAAAATTTGGAATTTGATACAGCTGCAGGTGAGGGCTCTATTTTCTCGTAGTTTAAGGATAAATTTATTGCCTTTAACAAGATGCATTTGACATTAAAATGTGCATTTCAATGCATTTGACATTAAAATGCATTTTAATGCATTTGACATCAAGATGCATTTCAATACGTACTTTTGACATTAAGAGATGCATTTGACATTAATATGTAGGTATTTTTTATGCATTTGACATTTAATATGCATTTGACATTAAGAAAAGTTCTGTCTTGAAGTTTGGAAGATATTTTGGTTGTAGTTGAATTTGTAATTTGTTTAACATCCTGCTATCATGTAAACATTGAGACCGGATTTGGATTTTACATTTTATTTTATTTCTAATTAGTGTTTTTTAAGTGAATTTGACTGGATATTGAATAATTTTCATTTGTAATGATTGATACGTGTTAGTTAATTACTACTGGTGGTCTTTCTTTCTTTCTTTCTTATTTATTCTTAAAGGAGCACTGGAAGCTAGTCCGTAAAGCCCCTTGCCTAAACTGGGTTTAATTGGTACCTAACAGTCTAACAGCTCTGAAAGTGAAAATCGGAAACAAAGAGAGAACACACACGGAAAAATACTACTGGTGGTCTTTTTTCTATATACAATTATTTAGTTATGCCAACCAATACTATTGTGTTGCGCAAATTGGAAAAAACTATTTATAAACTATAACCATACAAGAAGATATGGACAAATTGTAATCTGTTTATTTAATGTGTGTACATATTTCAGGCAATGTGAATTTCTTGCCACACGTGAAATCCTCATCCGTGACCAGCACCCTTTCATCTTCACATGCATCAACTTGTGAACCTTCAGTTAGCCAATCTAATACAGCAACCCATGACAAATCTCGGGTTGGCAACGGCGTGAGTGTCACAGCAACTGATTCTAAGGCAAGCCAGCCTGTTATTTCCAACGAAGCTGAAGCCCTGATTTGCGACAACCTCAGTTCCGCTGAGCTACTCAAAGAAGCTTCTCGTGCACGTCAATGGCTGGACGCGAACACGCGCCAAACTATCGTGGACTGGTGAGATATTCTTGAATGTCTTCGCTGTGAGAAAAATTATTTTACAATTCTGGCTCGCAGCGTAATCTGATATAAATAAATTTACGAGTCAATAATGAAAAATGTATGGGACCTAGAAGAAAAAATAAAACTCAGTACTCACTGCAGTGAGTGACAGAGAGCTCATTTTCTCGTCAATGAAAACGTGAAGTCACGGACGGACAGACAGACAGACAGACTGACATGGCGAGCACAATTGTTCATTTTTTCCATAAATGAGAAAATGTGCTAAAAAGTCCCTATGTAGCGCCAAAAGCTTAGTGTATCTTATTGTATTGTAATCCTTGAGGCATTAAAACAAATTTTCAAATGAATGCAGAGAGACAACAGTTAACTATGTACCAGTTAAATTTATGGTCAAGATGATGTTTTCGATCGACTGATAGAAATTGTAGTGCTAATTGTTATGTGCTTGTTGAATAATTGGTGCAACAGCTACGGTGTGGAACGCGTGTCTGAAGAGGAGCTCGTGATTCGTCTGCTGCAGAGCCTGTTTTGTCCGAGCCTCTTCCGTTCCCTGCTCGACCAAACCCCAGCAACCCCAACCCTAAACCAGGTAAATATTGACCTTAATTAAATTAATATTTGTTCTGAAGATTCATAGATCAATAAGATTAGTCAGCATAGTGAGAAAATTTTTATCGGTTAATACTTATTTTTGTTTCAGGAACGTGTTGAATCTGTGTTGCAGAAGAACTTTCGGCCCATGATAGAGAAACTCGAAGATATAGAAAAAACGTTCACTGGGCTTTATGCCAGAAAAAATATTGGAATTGAAGATTTTTGTGGTGAAAAAACAGCACTCCACACCGAGGAAAAATTGAACTCTAATTCAGCATTTCATGAACTTGGCTCAGATTATCGTCGCAACTCGAACGTTGGAGTGAAAATACCATATGAATGTTCAGCCAAGAGCAGCCTGCGTGAAGCCTTCATAGCAGCGCTGTCTGAGTGGCAAGCGCGCGTCTACCAGAAATTAGAAGAGTTTGTTAACTTCGTCAGAGATGGAAGTTCGTAGTGATGGCTTGCTTAATTAATTATTCTTTTAGATATGTTAATGTCCCATGTTTGTTGAAAAATATTTATTATCTGTCATGAATGATTGGGTTCTGATATCCGATTTGTTCATGGAGTTGATGAATTTTGTATAAGCGCTTGATGTAGCCTGCTAATGATGTAGCCTGTAGCGCTTGATGTAGCCTGTGTAAGTAAGCTTGATGTAGCGCTTGATGTAGCGCTATTATAAGCGCTTGATGTAGCCTGTGTAATTAAATTATCTTATATTACGTGATCTGTGATGCATTGACACTAGGTTGTTTATGAAGTAAGCTTCTTTTGTTTTAGAAGGTTGTAACCTTCTTTTGTTTTAAAAGGTTGTAACTTTCTTTTGTTTAAGAAGGTTGTAACTTTCTTTTGTTTTAGAAGTTTGTTTTAGAAGGTTGTAACCTTCTTTTGTTTTAGAAGGTTGTAACCTTCTTTTGTTTTAGAAGGTTGTAACCTTCTTTTGTTTTAGAAGGTTGTAACCTTCTTTTGTTTTAGAAGGTTGTAACCTTCTTTTGTTTTAGAAGGTTGTAACCTTCTTTTGTTTTAGAAGGTTGTAACCTTCTTTTGTTTTAGAAGGTTGTAACCTTCTTTTGTTTTAGAAGGTTGTAACCTTCTTTTGTTTTAGAAGGTTGTAACCTTCTTTTGTTTTAGAAGGTTGTAACCTTCTTTTGTTTTAGAAGGTTGTAACCTTCTTTTGTTTTAGAAGGTTGTAACCTTCTTTTGTTTTAGAAGGTTGTAACCTTCTTTTGTTTTAGAAGGTTGTAACCTTCTTTTGTTTTAGAAGGTTGTAACCTTCTTTTGTTNGCAGACTGCTTGGATAAAATTAGCTTGAATTTAGATATGAAGTAGAAAAAGCTTTTTACATCTGCCCGCAGACTGCTTGGAGCTCTGCTGCACAGTCTGGACACTTGCTGTACAGCTGCATCACGCAGTCTGCTGCTGCAGCTGCTGATGCGAACTCTGCAGCCTCTGCTGCACGCTCTGCTGCAGCATCCTGCAGAGACTGTCATGCCTTCCATCGTTTACAGGTCAGAGATTTTGTTTTTTCGTTTTTCTCTTTATTGAGTCTCAACTCATTAATACTTTACAGGGTGGAATTAACTTAGATCTTGTTTTTATATATTGGCTCTCAACTCATTAATACTTTACAGGGTGGAATAAATTTAAATCTTGTTTTCATATATTGGATCTCATCTCATTAATACTTTATAGGGTGTAATTAACTTGTGTCTTGTTTTAATATATTGGGTCTCAACTCAATAATGCTGCGTAGAAATGATTAAACATTTCTCAGTGGTAAATAATAAGTAATCATAAACTCTGTTAAAATATTGAATACCACCAGTGACATTTTGTGTAGCCCAAAAGTAGGCCAATTCCAACCTACTATTACGAAAAATTTTTAATATAACGTGTTATATAACGTGCAATATAGCTTGTATAGTACCTATGGCAGGAAATATAACATGTAATATAACGTATAATACCTAACGTATAATATGACGCGTAATATAACATGCAATATAACATAAAATATAACGTATAATATAACGTGTGATATAAGGTATAATCCTGCAATAACTTTTTCTTGCAGAGATTTCCACATTGACGTAAGAAGCTTACAGTTTTGGGATGAGGCATATCAAGAGCCTGCCATCCTCATGGAGCATATCAAACAGATTCCGTAAGTTATATTACTTGTTATTATATAAATATACAACTTACAAATTCCGTAAGTTACCTCTATTACTTGTTATTATATAAATATATAACTTACTCATTCCGTAAGTTATATTTGTTTTCCTAATACCAAATTTCCTATGTTCATTTTGCTTATGCATTTATCCTATTCACTTACTACCAATTCAAATTAATCCTACAAGATAATTGTTTGTTTCCTATTGTGACACTTCCTGCGTTCTTCTTGCATGTACATTTATCCTATTCGCTTCCTCCTAATACCAATTTTATCGCATACAACTTCCTTGTACAAGATAATTGTTTGTTTCTTACTTGTGACGCTGAATTTATGAATTTTCCCCAGCGGGCTGACATGTTTCCTGCCTATCATGGAGACGCTGCGCACGACAGCCAAGAGCAGAGAGCTGGTGTCAGCGCTGCAGCTGTCCAGTGATTGGTTGCGAGCTGACTACGAGAACGCTGACCAGACTGCTGCTGTCAGCCTGCGTCATGACAGTCGTGAGTGTCAGCAGGCAATCACTGTCTGTTGTATTGGAATGATTGTGCTGTGACAGTTGTAAGTGTCAGCAGGCAATCACTGTCTGTTGTATTGGAATGATTGTGCTATGACAGTTGTNCTGTCTCTTATACACATCTAGATGTGTATAAGAGACAGGGCAATCACTGTCTGTTGTATTGCAATGATTGTGCTATGACAGTCGTGAGTGTCAGCAGGCAAACACTGTCTGTTGTATTGTAATGATTGTGCTATGACAGTTGTGAGTGTCAGCAGGCAAACACTGTCTGTTGTATTGTAATGATTGTGCTGTGACAGTCGTAGGTAGCAGCAGCATCACAATTTGTTTTGAATAAATGATGTGTTCACTTCATTATTATTTATTGACTATTTCCAGTAGGAGAAGAAAGCATTACTAGTTATGTATGGTCAAGTTCATATTAGATTCATAATAATAATTATTATTGTCATAATAATTATTAGATTCATAATAATCTATTGCATTATTGATTAATTAGCTTGAATTGCCTAATTAACTGAGGTCAAAATTTCAAGAAAATAATGGACAATATTCATAGGTTTGGATAATCCTGAACCATGAATGTTTTAATTCATTCGTTAACCATGAATGTTAATTATTTTTCAATTAAATCTTAGCTGTAGAGACTAACTAGATTAATTAACGAGATTGCGAATTAGATCTTAATTATTAAGCAGATTATGATTAAGTTATTAATCTTAGCTGTAGGGACTAACTAGATTAATTAACGAGATTGCGAATTAGATCTTAATTATTAAGCAGATTATGATTAAGTTATTAATCTTAGCTGTAGGGACTAACTAGATTAATTAACGAGATTGCGAATTAGATCTTAATTATTAAGCAGATTATGATTAAGTTATTAATCTTAGCTGTGGAGACTAACTAGATTAATTAACGAGATTGCGAATTAGAGCAATTATTAAGCAGATTATGATTAAGTTATAATAAGACTGATAATATTACTAACGATCACAATAATTTTTATTTGCTCATAGATGTGGATGCTTACAACGTGCTGTTGCGCCACGTCCAAAAGCTCACAGCCGATGTTCTGCCGCATGTGAGTCGTGATGACCCACTCTCAGACGCCCTGCAATCTGCCTTGTCGCTGCCTGAATACGACCCCTTCCTTCTTAAATATAACAGTCGAGGTCAGCTCAATGTTTTGTGTCATAAAATGCAAAGATGAAATACATTGAGGATAAATATAATATATTTGTATTCAATATTTATACTTAATTTATATTATATACAAATTTAACCAATACAGTCAAGGTCATCTCAGTGTTAGGTTGTGCTAAAAATGAGAAAAATTTTGCGTTAAATAGTTTAAAATTTTTAGTGGATCGTACTTTAACTTAATGCCAAGTGGATCGCAGGTAGCGAACAACCGACTCCAAATGTTGCGAATGGTGACAACATTCACAATGGCAGCTCCATTCATGAGCCGTGAGTTGATGTATAATAAAAAATAGAAATATAGAAAAAATAGAAATATAGAAAAAATAGAAATATAGAAAAAATAGAAATATATAAAAAAATAGTCTGTATATAATCCATGCAAATTTTATAATCGGATTATCCCGAATCCTGTTTGTAAGTAACAAATCTACTTTTCATATACAAATCTGTATATGAAATAATTAAGACAATGTTTGGGTTATATTAAACAGGTATAGTTAATTTTTAACTGGCTCACTTCTGTCCCCTAATAACCTGGGCTTTTTGTGGTTGCTGGAAACTTGAATGCTAATTTCATCTCACTGTAGGTCTATCAATAATTTTATATTTTATTTTTATAATTGATTGATGAATTGGTTGATCTAGAAATGTTAGTTCTAATCAACACTAATAGCCAACTAACTCGTAAACAAATAAACAGCCAATAATTATTATCCTGCAAATATTTTTATTTACTTGTTGTATGCAAATATACCATAATATTGTTGTTATGGTATATATTTATGGTATATTCGTAAATATACCATAAATGCATAAGTACAATTTCACATCATAAATTATATCATAATAACCAATGCTGTTACTTGCCCAGATGGTTAGGAGAGGTGCACGCGAGTAGCCCGGTGTGCAGTGGCCTATATTTATGGTATGTTCGTAAATATACCATAAATATAATTTACCATGGTAAATTATATCATAATAACCATTGCTGTTACTTGCCCAGATGGTTAGGAGAGGTGCGCGCGAGTAGCCCGGTGTGCAGTGGCCTATATTTATGGTATATTCGTAAATATACCATAAATATAATTTACCATGGTAAATTATATCATAATAACCATTGCTGTTACTTGCCCAGATGGTTAGGAGAGGTGCGCGCGAGTAGNTGTTGTGTTTAACTCTATGCGATTACCTCTTGTTGTGTTTAACTCTATGCGATTACCTCTTCTTGTGTTTAACTCTATACGATTACCTCTTCTTGTGTTTAACTCTACACTCACTAAAATAAATGGGTCATGCTAAGTTAGTAGCATTTTCTCTTATTTAGCACTGATGCGTCCTTTTGCCGGACAAAACTGCGTCAGGATTGCCACACAAGGGCAAGAAGTACATCGCTATGTTTATAAAGTCTTTAATTTTTCTGTGTATATGTCTATTCACGTTTAATATATTAACGTTTAGCACCCATGCATGTCTATTGACGTTCAATATATTAACGTTACCATGTCTATTGAAGTTTTATCTAGTTACTAGGTCTAGTAGATGTAGGTATCTGTCGGTAACCCTCGTTATCATGCCTGTAGCTACGTAGAGCATTAATGACGGTTCGTAAAATTGTATGGAACAAGGTAATTTTTCGGTACCTATTTCATAATTTGTGGCCAGTCAACCAATTTAACGGTCAGATAATGCGATAGGCAAATCCAAATTAAAATTGCCGTAAAATTTTGAAATACCAGCTTTTGGACAATTTATTGCTTCTGTTTTTTTTTTCATTTCCGTGTGGTCCGATGATCTTGATGTTATGAATTCCGTGTATTTCATTGTTAAGACAGACGTGAAAAGTTAATTTATTTTTTGTCTGTTTTACTAAATTAGGTGAGGTCAAAAAGTGAATAAAGTTCGTCTGTTTCACCAGAACAGAGAATGCGATAAAAATTTGCTTGTTTGAACAGAACAGAGACTGTAGGAATGCAGTTTAATTTCTCATCTGTTTGACCAAATTACGAAAGACGATAAGAGAATAAGTATATTCAGTCTTTCTGAAGAGAAGAACAGAGAGCGCAATCATACAATGAGAACAAAGAATACTTATTAACTAGGAGGCCAGGCGGTTAAGCACAGCAAAATTGAAAGTGAGTTGTAAGTTCGAGACTGCAACAAGCTGTGAATGTTCAGTGACGTTTAAGAATCGGCAACAGCCAACATAAACGCTGAGTCGCTGATACTGCTGTATTATTATTTTGTATTTACCCTCGGCCTCAGCCTCTCTTTAAAAACCCTCCGCTTTGCCACTATGCTTATTAATATATTACCACTCGTTAATATATTCGTGTACATTATTGTTGCAGGCGAGCACGTTTCTGCTCTGTGCAGCGTGATGCTCCTACAGCCTTCAAACATCCTTAAGGGCTTCACTGCTGCGCTCCTAGAGAAGGTCTTTACTATTTTATCGCAATAATTATTTAAGATTTTATCTCTCTGCTCATGTTTTAGACGTATAAATGACTTTCATTTTCCAGCCCTATTAAAAATACTGGCGTTACAGCTTTTCTCTAATTGTTCGATTGGGTTTAAATGATGATTATGTATGCAAAATGATTCATTTGGTTAGGCATCTATTTATTCAGGATTGTATTGTATATCTATTTCTTCAGGACTTTTTATGTGAAACAATAAACACGGCTTACTTGACCACCGAACTGCGGGACTGTTTGGAAAAAGTCCACCCCAAAGTCGCCAGTTTATTTTCCGTCGTCGCAAGGAAGCCATCAACGTGCAGCTGCCAGAGCACTCCTGGTACCCTGACTCCTATGAGCGGCGCATCCTACAGCGGGAATAAAAAACCGTGTGAAATTCATCCTCAAATGAATAACGATCCTCAGAGTCTGAATGTGGGGATGAATTCTCAAGACTACGAACTTCTTCGCGAGTTTTTCGACGATGAAGAACTGAAGCTCTTGGATTTGTCGAGACTGGGCGCTCTGGAGGCTAAGGATCTGTCGCATGTCTGTATCGTCTACGCGGTGAGTTTGTTAGTAATAGTATTTTAAATTATCACGGCAACTAGAGTGCTTAAGAGTCAAAATGAAGCATTACTAATTTTTTAATAATATTGGGGATAATCAAGACGCATCCTTACGCGAAAAAATTTATTGTCAGACCAGCTCTAGGAAATCTCGATACTTATTTGAGATTTAAATAGTGATAAACACATGAGGCTCGATAACCGATAGGGTATTAATTAAAGAGTTCACTATATTTATATCGCGGTTAAAACTATTTTTATCCAAAGGACTGTCATAAGAACATTATCAAAAGAACATAATCCATCATCTTATATTATCCAAAGGACTGTACCATAAGATTCATCGCAGGATTTAATTCACTGAATGAATAAATGAATGTGTTTGGCTTGAAGGGTCGTTGGCCGTGGAGTGCCGTGCTGCCAGCTGACATCGTGCAGCACTACAACTCAGTGCTGCACTTCTGCTTCCGTCTGCAGCAACCGCTGCATGTGCTGCACGCTCTTAACTTTAAAGGTTTCTTTTAGCTTTAATCTAAATTATTAAAATTCAGTTTATTTCATGATCTATAGATGCTTTCAAATCTATAGAGGTTTCAGAACATTAATTTTGTATGAACTTATGAAGACATTCATTCACTTGTTCATATTTACGAATCTTGCTGTAGTGTAGATTAGAATTGGGATATATAGACCGACGCAAACAATTTAGCGATGAACCTGCACCCAACGTGAAGATGTGAGCGTTAGTAATGGAATCCAGAGTTTTTAGTGTTGAAACCGAACTTTTCTTTCACGACTGTCCGTCTCTGACCGTGACTAACTCGTGTCCATCTCTGTCACGACTGTCCACATCTCACCATGACTGTTATCGTGCCCATCTCTATTATGACTGTCCACCTCTGACCATGACTTATCGTGTCCATCTCTGTCACGACTGTCCACCTCTGACCATGACTTATCGTGCCCATCTCTATTACGACTGTCCACCTCTGACCATGACTTATCGTGCCCATCTCTATTACGACTGTCCTTCTCTATCACGACTGTCCACCTCTGACCATGACTGTTATCGTGCCCATCTCTGTCACGACTTTCCACCTCTGACTATGACTGTTATCGTGACTGTCCATCACGACTGTCCACCTCTGACCATGACCATGTTCGGTTCGCCAGACATGCGCACATATGAGGTGGTCGCCAGTGCCCCCGCCGACACCTCCCCGGACGATGGCCCCCTCAGGAGCCGCCTCCTGAGGCTGCAGCTACTGCGGCACTGGCTACTGCATTTCTGCCGCGCCCTTCACGATCACTTCACCACCGTCGTCATCCTGCCCTTCAAGCACGCCCTTCATCAACTCCTTTCCTCCAGACCTCCACTTCAACACTTCCTCACTGGTGAGTTACACTTCGATGTTTAGTTGCTAATTTATAATAGCATGAATATTTCGTGGGAAACGCGCGAATTGCATTACTTTGCTAAGGTTGCGAGGTCATACAATTTTTGTGGTATATTTATATATATTAAAATTAATGTCTTTAGTGAAGAGCACCAATTTGTCGATTCTTAATCTTTATTATCTGCCTTCGTTGCCAATTAATAACTCGAGCTTTGTTGCTTAAGAAAGACCTTAGCCTACCCGACGTGATTTTCTTCATAGTTGTTAATATTTTGGAGTCAATACGTCACATTCAGGCATCGTTATGCGCTGTGAGCTGACAGAAGAGTTTGTAGTTTTGTACAATTTGTGTGAAGTTCAATTTACAGTGTCGAAATTTACTGATATCAAATAATGTCGTGTGTAGGACATTTTCTCATTTATGAAAAAAATGCACTATTGTGCTCGTCATGTCCGTCTGTCTGTCCGTGACTTCATGTTTTCGTCGACGAGAAAATGCGCTCTCTGTCACTCACTGCAGTAGTACTGAGTTATATTTTTTTATATTTACGATGTCGTAGTTTGGGTGCAATTTAATTTGCGATGTCGTAACTTAACAATTTAAAGAAATATTGCAAATTTAATTAGCGATGTCGTAATTGGTGCACAGAACACGCGCGGCTGGTGACAGAGCTGCGTCAACGTTGCCTCCTCAGCGGCGGCGACTCGGAGTCGCCAGCACAACTTGCCCTCAAGCAGGTCACTTCAGATAGTATTTATTTTAGAATAGAATAAAATAGAATAAAAGTGTTGGCGTTGAAGAAATAGGCCCATGGCCTGTTGCCGATTCTTGAACTTTTCGTGACTAGATTCACAAGGGATCCGGCCTTTGGAACCAGATCTTTCCATAACTGACGATTGATTGAGATAGCAGCTGGACTAATTGCCTGATCCGTAATTTGCTAGGCATTTTAAGACTGAACATATGCTCCTGCATAGCTTCGTCTGGACTTATTGCCTGGTCCGTAATTTGCTAGGCATTTTAAGACTGAACATATGCTCCTGCATAGCTTCGTCTAGTCTGTTTTTGAAGATGTTCATACTCGGAGCTTCAACGATGCTATCAGGGAGGCTGTTCCACATGTCGGTGACTCGAAGCGAGAAGAAATGTTGTCATCACAACAGATTCCATTACCTTGCAAACGACACTTGTCAAACTGACAGGGCGATAGTTGCCCGGGCAGCTTTTGTCACCTTTTTTGAACAATGGTGTCACTTGAGCTTCTTTCCAGTCAGCCGGCAACATTCCTTCGTTCAAAGTTTTCCATGAATTTTCATAGAATAGTGAGATGGGTAACTAGTCTAGAATTTCTTCAATACTAATTTTCAACCAATAATGAGATGGAAACCCATTCTAGAATTTATATTTTTTTTTAATTGTTATCGAGGTATTTACAAATTTATTTTCCGTAAATTTTCATAGAATACCAGTGAGATGGGTAACTAGTCTAGATTTTCTTTTATACCTATTTTCAACCAATAATGAAATGGAAAACCATTCTAGAATTTATATTTTGAACGAATTTTTCACGAGGTATTCACCAATTTAGATGGAAAACCATTCCAGCAAGTCATTTTCCTACTGAATTTTTTAAAATTTGTATACTTTTAGTATTTTATATTCTTATATTTAATCAAGAAAAGATTCTATACTTTCTTTCTAATCCTTACAGGTTTGAACTTTCTAAACATAAACATAATTTCCTCGTCAAGTCTTTTGCCAGTTTATTTCAATTCGAACAAATGTCTACTCGCTTATTTTTTTACTATGCTAATGTCTACTAATAGTTATGGTTGCATCTGTATGTAGATAAAGTAAAAATTGATGTCCAAGATCGTTCTAAATTATATAATCTGATTACTGATGCAACTTGTGCATGATTATAATTAACTTGTGCTACGCTTGTGCACGATTATTCTCTTTCTGTAAAATAGTTGCGGAATAAAAGTTTCAGCTGTAGTTAAATCGATATAATAAATCCCTGAAATAAATCTAGAGAATTTTAAATTAAATAATATAATTAGGAATGTATTTATCATGATTTTTATTTCAGTTTGTATTTTTATCATCTTGCTAATATCATTGGACAAATATCATAGGACTAATATCATCGTGCTAATACAATATAATCAGACTAATATCATTGGACTAATATCATTGGGCTAATACCATCGTGCTAATACCATTGGACTACTATCGTCAGGCTAATATCATTGTACTAATATCATTGCACTGATATCATCGCTCTAATATCATTGTACTGATATCATCGCTCTAATATCATTGTACTGATATCATTGGACTAACATTGCACTACTATCATCGTACTAATATCATTGGACTAATATCATTGCACTAATATCCTGGTGTTTGTGTGCAGGTGGTGTGGGTGGTGCAGGAGGTGGGGGGTGCGTGGCGTAGGGGAGGGTGTGGGCAGGCTGAGCTGTGCAGGCTGGAGGCGAGCTACGCGGCCTGCCACCGCTTCCTGCTGCGCCTCATAACAGCGCTGGCCAAGACGGCGGACCAGTACCAGCATCGTGAGTAGTACCATCATCGTGAGTACTGCTACCATCATCGTGAGTACTACCATCATCGTGAGTACTACCATCATCGTGAGTACTACCATCATCGTGAGTACTACCATCATCGTGAGTACTACCATCATCGTGAGTACTNGTAGGTAGTGCTACCATCATCGCGAGTAGGTAGAGCCACCATCATCGCGAGTAGGTAGTGCTACCATCATCGTGAGTAGGTAGTGCTACCATCACCGTGAGTAGGTAGTGCTACCATCATCGTGAGTAGGTAGTGCTACCATCATCGCGAGTAGGTAGTGCTACCATCATCGTGAGTAAGTAGTGCTACCATCATCGCGAGTAGGTAGCGCTACCATCATCGTGAGTAGGTAGTGCTACCATCATCGCGAGTAGGTAGGTAGTGCTACCATCATCGTGAGTAGGTAGCGCTACCATCATCGTGAGTAGGTAGTGCTACCATCATCGCGAGTAGGTAGGTAGTGCTACCATCATCGCGAGTAGGTAGTGCTACCATCATCGTGAGTAGGTAGTGCTACCATCATCGCGAGTAGGTAGGTAGTGCTACAATCATCGCGAGTAGGTAGTGCTACCATCATCGTGAGTAGGTAGTGCTACCATCATCGCGATTAGGTAGCGCTACCATCATCGTGAGTACTGTTACCATCATAATATGAAGTATAATATTAAACATTGTGCTGCGTTATGTGAGCTAATGTGAACAACAAAAGCTCTAGTTTTAATCCCAAGTCAACATATTGAAATGTATTTAAATTCTGGCTTGCTTACTTTAAAATTAAACATTAATGCATAATAAACATCCATTGAATTCGAACAGAGCAAGGCAAACGTTATTAACCAGATTATAGTAACAGTCAGTGGATAGTATAGATATCAGCCATTATCAACGTGGAAGGCAATCGCTATTAACCAGATTATATCAACTAATAAACAACAGTCAGTGGATATGTATAGTTATCAGTCATTATCATAGTGGAAGAGCATTTTTATTAGCATTTCATCATTCCCGATTAACATTTATTCATTAACCCAAAATACGTTTTTTTCAGTGACGGCGCTGGCGACGGTACTAGGAAGTAGTTGCCCAATCAACGTGTAAACCATCACTGCGAGCGAAGCATACGAATTTAAATAATGAAAGATTTCCACAAATATTTTATTCATTTGCGATGTTTATAACTTGATAATCTCTGGAATTTATTAAAATATTTTTTATTACTCCACTTATCTTTTCCCATTGATCGACGATCGGAAAATTAATTATGACCGAGGATGTGTCGGAAGTTAAATTGAAATGCCTACCAAATAATTCGGTATTTCGCTATCATGTAGAATTTAAATTCAAAGTCATCTCAATTTGCAAGAAACTCGGATTACTGTAAAAAATACGAAGCTAAGTATAAAATTTATGATGAATAAATAGTCTTCTTGAATAAAAAAAAGTTTCATTATATTTAGAGTGTATTATGGCACTCTTACAGTTAACGATTAGTTAACTTTTTAAGCGTTAATACTCAATGAATTAGAAATTCACTAATAACGATTATTATTATTAGTGCAACTAGGTATTATTGCGTCTCCGCAGAACCCTTGATTATATCGTGTTGCTAATTTTACTGATGAGTTAGTTTAATAATAATAATAATAGTAATGAGAAGCGAAGTGTTAGTAAAGGACGGTGACGTAAGTGCTAAGGTTTGAGATCAGCTACTTCGGTGCAGCTCTAAATTTTTAAATTTTGCTGCGTTGCTGCTCGCGCGAGTATTGTTATTGCTGTCTTAATATCACTTCAAATAATGAAGTATTAATATATTGCTGTCATCAAATAATGAAGTATTAATATATTGCCTTCAACAATATTTCTTGACCTTTTTGTGTCACATAAGGAACTTGGCAAGATGCCAGCAAATATCCTAATTAAGTACGCATTGTATTTTTGATGTAATCAGTAAATTATTCATTGATAGGTTGCAGTTAATGCGAATAAATTGCTATTAGATCTCCCACATCAACACTTTTGCAGAACGAAATTATCAATTCTTTAGTTTTAGTGTGTGAGACGAGGTTAAATGCCAAAAAAGTCATCTCTAAACTAAGTAGTATCACTTCTTAATAAGTGAAATAATTAGGCATGTTGTTCCAAGTTGGATTTAAGGCCCATGCAAAACGCATTACCTTTTGATTAATCCACGTATGATTTTTCTAACACGTCCTAATTACTTGGATTACTATACCACAACTCCTTGTTTAAATCCTTAAAGTAAGTAAAGCTATCGACCACTTAAAAAGAATAAAACTTACCGTTAATGTCGATGAAGATTGTTATTGGATTCATTTAATGTGTTATTTTTATAATAATAATTATTGTTGAGTTCTTTGGTAACTGATCCCCGTACTACTAAGAAATATAACTGGGGTGGCGGCTCGTTAGTAGGGAAAGTTCTCGTTAGGACAGCATTCCAGTATTAATGTTTTTAAGGCCTCCAACAAATGCGAGATTAAATGATTACTATAAGCTCAGCAATGAGTTCTTTATTTGTTCATGCAAAGAAGATTTACAAATAGGGTATTAAGAGATAGGTACTAATGTATTAATCGTCTTAAGGTTATGCGTTGCCGACAACACGCTATAGTTTGGCACCTATTGGGTAAGATTGTGAGACAAATAGCGAACGTCAACATGGACGCCGCTGCTTAACCTTAACCTTCTCTTATAACGACAATCTCGTTTATTTCAGCGGCAGAACAAATTATTGCACGGCTTCAGTTGTCCTCCATTAATCGTAATCATGTATATATTTTCTAGAGAAATTAGTCGAGTAAATAACAATTTTGACTCCAAAACACAAATAAACAATTCACCTTAGGTAAACATTACATCAGGGCACCATAATTTTGTTATAATTATTATAGTAACAATGAGGGAAGAATGCATCATGAAAGAATGAAGGCGATGAACAAATGCATAAGTTATAGATGCGGTGAAACGCAAAAAGTTAGCTTCATTAAATTAGACTCAAAAGCAAATGAAAAAAAAAACGTAGAAAAATAAACATAAGAGAAAAAAGGAGAATATGCGAATAAATACACATCGGATTGCTGAGCCCTCCCGGTGTATGCCACAGGAATATTATTAATAATTTAATAATGTGCCACAATAATAAATTTTTGGATTTGAGGATTTGCAAGCTGTTTTTTCTATGGAGTTCATCGAGATATAACAAAAGGCACTGCATGAAAGTTTTTTAAGCGGCGCCAACGAAACCAATGCACAATGCAATAGCATAAGATATGCTGTGAACTAGAAGAACCTCCTGAAAATGTATCAATGACGATATTTATGTTCAACATTCTAATTATTACTGCTATAAGAAAAGTCTACAAACAACTACTAAATACTTCACACAACTAAAACTAGCCACAAATAATATCCGATATTCGACACCAAAAACTACCGATTAGTAAGTCTAGTAACGACAAAAACTCAATTATCATCCATTAACATTCAAACGTTAAAACGTCACAATTATTCGAAAAATCAGCTCGTTCAGTCATTAATCGGTAATGGTCGAGAGAATCTATTATTATTCCAAGATCACAAGATTTCAATTTATATGGTGAACGCTTTAAATATTATAAGGCACTTGGGAACCACTCATACAAACATACATCAAACACGGAGTCTGGAAGACGCTAGCAACTGTCACGTTATACTCGTATATCAATTCGATGTTCCATGAGAAAGTTCGATGAACACAATCATTTTGGCACGTAAAAATACACTAACTATATCCTCGGCCAGACGAAACTTGTCCTAACACAAGTCAAGATCAATAATCAGAATCCGTGTTAACGAAATGCATGCTAGGCACATTTTCACTCAACACTCAGTAAGGATTACAACATCAACAGATTCTTCAAGATTATGCCGGTTCACGGCGGCTAAAGTAATTATATACCGTATAATAAACTAATACGACTTCTTACCTAAGATTAAGTAGAAATGCTTCTATACAAAAAGCTATTGGCACTTGAGTAAAGAAAGTACAAAGAAAAACATAAGTTCAATGAGGTCATTACCTTTCCTAAAATTTGGCTCGAATTATTATTGTTCATCGAGATATTATACCAATTATGCCTTAACTCATTTTTAAGCGAACAAAAGCGAAATTAGTTAAAAGTGATCTTCAAAAGAAAAATTGTTCAAGCTTAAGTGTAAAATTTAATCTTAAAACCGCAAGTGCAACGTGCTTCAAAAAGCTTTAGATTTCAATACATCATGATTGATGTGATAGTCAACGTAAGCCACAGAACATACGTTGCGTAAGATATTGCATTCCTATCAAGAGTCAAAGTCTTGAAGCTCCTGCTATGGCACTAGCTCTCCACAACACAAAAAATTACTGAAACGGAACTACACCCAAAATGCAACAAGTTTCCTATAGCATATATTAGAGTAAATCAAGAATCTTCACCCCAAAAAACTCCGTCCCCGAAATGCTGTTATCAACTAATAATTGACCTAACAGCAAATAATAACCCGATATCCAGTTTACGAATGAACCCGTGGATGTGAAACACATAACTGGATGTGAGCGTTCAGTGAATTCAGGTTATTATGCTAGGGTAAATGGGCATAAACTGTGCACAACCTCAATTAAAAAATAAACGTGAGTAGCGATCCAATGGAAAACAATAGAGGCTCAACACAACTGCAACTATTTACGAATGTTTCTAAAAAAATGCACAGCAAAATAGGCACAGAGTTCTTTAGAGGTGCTCATCTGTCGATAGTTATTTGTATTAGTAATCAGTTAATGAAGGTAGTGTGCTGAAGTGGCAAATAATCTTGTGTATAAGTCGATGAGAAAATTCTCAACTCTTTAGCAGAAGAAAAATAAAGAAGACTGAAAAAGTTGTAAGCCAAAAGCTAATCATTACAGCTGGAGGAAACTTGTGCGGTAATGGCAAATGTTAAGGCACTGAACATATCTGGGTTAAATACTACAATACATTAAATTACTTAAAAAAATCTAACCAACTTCTTTGTGACAACAATGGGCATGTAAACGACATAAGTGCCGCTGTTATCTGTGACGTCAGAATATTAATTACGGACACATAAAGCCTTCTAATGGCAAAATTAATCCAATAGAACATCAATAAATTCATTTGAAAAGCTCAACATGTATTAGCACCACGTTAAAAGCGCTGCAGAGCATTTTAACGAACACATGTGTAAGTTATGAAAATTTTAGACGATTTCAAGCCAATTTCCCGGGAAAATGCTTATCTTTACAGCTGCCAAAGACGTTACAACAACCTTTTTTCGCAAGCCCTAGATCACCACCTCCAGCTACAGAATACTTTATAAGCAATAGAGAACATTTCATTTACTTTTATAATGCGAACCGGGCTCCGATTCTCCCGTTTACAATGTTACTTGGTAACAATTTAAATAAATTGACTCGATTGGAGAATTTAAGATCGCTTTCGTGGATCTTTTGCGATTATCATTAGTGAAATATCGAATGAAACGAATGAAGATCGTACAAAACAAACACCTGCATTACTATTGATCAAACGTGCGTTCATCCTATTAATTTAAACTTGAAGTAGACACTACACGTTCAGAGTCTTAATGAAATTTTCACACCCACACCCAATTACAGACTGAACTTTACGATTCTCCTCATGCACATACAATTATGAAGGCTATCCGCGGCGATGTTACTCACTAAAGCTGAGGTATATTTTGAGGGCTTCTTGCAAGGCGACTTGAAAGCAGCGTCGGACGCATGCGTGGCCCAGCAGTGGTAGATCCCGCTGGGTTAGTGGATGGCTTCATAGGTAGCGCTATTGTTTAGTAGTGTAGGAGCAGAAGTGGTAGTAGGTGGAGGTGGTGGGAGGGTTAGCAACAACGCGCCATCTGAAGGAGTTAGCGAGAAAAGAGAAACCATTGTTAGTAAATTTACAAATTTTAGGTCACAACACCAGTTTTGAAAAGTTAAGGCAATTTTGTAAACGCAACGTCAAGAATTAGCTAAAGCTACAGCTTGATTCAGCAATCACAGATCAAAGCTTTTAATTTCAAGCAAAGATGGAAACGAAGTAGCAAGATCCAATTACATTATTGTCATAATAATTACTGACTTGAAATACTGTAAACTTCAACACGAGATCATTGATAGTGAACACTTATCATTGCAGTTAAAAATTCATTCTAACAATTAAGCTCATGAATTCAAGTATTGAAGATTTTTCGCAAAAAGTAAACATTAATTCGATGAAAAAGTAAGGGATGTGGTAGAAATCCCTTACCTGTGGCAAAGCATTTACCAGATATTGATAATATACATGAATTTTCACAGGTTAAATAATATTTTTCGGGTTGCAGTTGACAAAATATGAAAAAGTATTATTGAGAGCTGCAAAAATCTCAGTAGTAATCAATTAGTTGAATAAAAATCCGTTAGAATGTTATAAATAATTATTTTTTTACAAGAGGCTAAAACTAACGAGCTAAAAACGAACCGCTTTCAACGGCGGAATATATTAGCAACTAAACCTTGATTTTAGAACTTCAAGATTAATAATCTCTCGCATCACAGAGCAATTAGTTAGTATGAACTGGGGTCCATTAGATCCAACAAGAGAAATAATTGCTCAAATGAGCACCAGAAACTGCTATTATGATGTGCACATAAATCGGTCAAACATCATTCAATTCACTACACCTAAAACAAACTCAAACTGAAGTGCCATGTACTCTCTTCATAGGCTGAGCGACAGCGATTTCGGCATCTCATCCGGGAACTTATCAATCCCCAGGATATCTCTAAATGGCCGAGTTTCAAGGATTGTTCCATACAAACTTTAATTGATATACTGTTTTCCAACCGTATGAATTTCACTGCATTTTCAGCATCAAAAAAGTAATTTCGCCGAATGCAGGTCATCGGAAAAATCAAAGAAAACGTCCAGCATAATTTATTGCGTATAAAATGACGAAATCCACCCTTAGGTGAGCGAAAAACAATAATTCTAGGCATGACATAAGAAAAAAATCAAATTAGGCACAAAGAGTGCATTAAAGCACAAGGAGAATAGAGTTGGGAAGGGACATTCTAGCGAATTAAGTCCAATTGGATTCCTTATAAAATATAATTTACCCATACGGGTTAAATTTGATTGAGACCTAATAATTAATCGTCCCAAACGCTGATCTCGTGACAACAAATTATACATCATTAAATTCGACCAACGATTGATAAAATACACTGACTTACGTAAGAAGAAGATGGCAAGAAATAATCAATTTTAATGAACAGGCGCTTTTGAGCAAACCGGTTTAATGGAATATTACAAAATTTAAAGTCGGAAAATATTGAAACCTAAACAATGAGAGACGAGAAAGTGTCACCCGCAGAAAAAGACTAGCGACGATATTTTTCTGGCTCTCTTATAAGTCACTACTTAAAAATAATAGAGAACAGAAACGAGAATGCGCAAAAATGCTTGGACGGAATGTACAGATAATTAAGTACGGGAAACAAAGAAAACTAGAAAAACGGAGACGGAAAATAAATACAAAACTAGCAAAACTTAGTTTACGCGGCTCTAGCAAGAAATGCACGAAAAATATCCTAGGTACGGGATAGATAATAAAAAATGTAAGAAAAGATATTAACAAATTTAGGAAACAACCGATGAATGGCATTCGAACATGAGCTGACACGAGTGCAAGCAGCTTTACTGAAATTCATCAACCAAGTGATAGATGAAACCATTTATTCTTTAGATGCTAAATTAAACAAGTTTAACAATAAAATGGATAAGATTCGCTATACTCGGCAGCCGGCAGAACCTGTAAGAAGGAACAATGAGACACAAGGCAGAGGGACATTTGCAGAACTAACCTGAGACGGCATCATTCAGCCTCTTTAAGGCAAAGGGATTATGATCGATGATATGGATGATCCCTCGTGCCTTGAGGGTTAAAATGCCGATGGTTCCTGTGCTTGCCCGCTGCCACGGCCACTTGGTTGCCTGATACGGTGGATGGTAGCCAGAGTTTAAACATCGTACGTTGAATTAAACAGAAATATTTTCCTACCGAAACAACGTACCAGCTCGAATAAAAGTGGGCAGAAATTTAGATAAAATTGTGCGAATCTTCTAGTAATTCATTCATAGTAGAAAATTTGTCACGTGATTACAATTTTTCGAGTAATAAACGTGAATGTTGGTGGACATTTTGCACTGCAAGTGAACAGGTTTAACATATCCCATGAGCCTTTAAAATCTAATACAACACGCATCACAATCTACATCTTAAAACTAGTCATCACCTAAAGTTACTCAACATCTCTCCAAGTGAAGACAAATGGGAGGTATGAATTCTTATTGATACTTAACTAAGAAAGCCAAATATCATCCTGAAAAACCTTCGAGGTGAAGGAAGGCCAACATTGCTAACAAAATGGCTTTGGCATCACGAGATAAGATTAAGAAGGCATTTTTAAAAATCGCTTTAGGATGAGAGTTGAATAAGAGGAGGTAAGCCAATAATTTTTGATGGAATTGACGTGAAAAAAAAAGGAAATTTCCACTGACATTCCCAAGTTGATCGAAGAGTTACACCAACAAGAATCTTAAGAAGTACCTAGCAAATAAAGTCATCTACGGTATCATCAGATTCATATCAATGGTAGATTCATTCATATCAAACATAGCGAGCAAATAATTTTAGAAGCAGAAATAGTAGCCTAAACTTCGAGTGTCATCATTCCAAAAGAAGATGTAACATTACCGAGTTTATTTTAACAAGTTCACTACCTAAAATTTGAATTCAAATAGCAGACATGAAACAAAATGAAACTTGTGAAACACGATCTCACTAATAAAATCCTGCAATATAAGTTTCCATTTGCATTAGTTTACTAGAATCGCTAGATAACCAAAAACCTTATTTTAAATTCGTGGTCAGCAGAAGAATATCTGATACGCTTTTGCAAGTGAATCATTACAGGGCTGGACATAATACGCTGTTAGAAAAAAACGGTCCCACCGGCGTTCTAGTGGCCGGTCGCCCCGTGAAAATAAACGGTTTCTCCGTTATTATCAGATGTTTTACGGTTTTCTAGTGTTAAATTAGAATAAAAACGGTGACACGGTGTTTCTTTTCACGTTCCGACCGGCCACTGAAACGCCGGTAATACCGTTAACGGTAATTTTTTTAACAGTGATACGCGCGTCCATCTTCGTAATAACATGAAATTGATGTCGACTAGTGATGTGCGATGTATATAGGAGGCAAATCTAAGATCAAATGCCTCCTATTCCCTATATAATTTCGGAAAATTTAAAACCTAATACCAACAAGAACAAAAAGTCTTGAGCTGCTCTATCAGTGCACACTCGGAAACGAAAGAAAAACATATGTATATGTGAAGAGTTACAATGATAAGAGTTATAATTTTAACACTTTTATAAATATAATTTATATTATAAAATAATTATAAAAAATAAAATTAAATAAAAAATATTAAAAAAAAATATTAATTATAAAATTTAGAGGCATTCAATTAATAACGAAGATTGTGGAAATTTTTAGTGTCTGCCCAATTGTGGCAAGCATTTCCCAAAACTAAATCTATCAAACAGAAAAATCTTAGGAGTGAAATTAGCCCGTAATATCGATTATATAGGCTTCAATCACTTCTCGTTATACCGAGGTAACTGAATGAATTCTATCTCTTCAGGGCTGACAATGAAAATATTTGGAAATGAATGAAGGGAGTTATCAGGCTCTATATAATTTGAGCGAAGCCATAAGTTACCAATTGAATTGGCATTCCGAAATGAGTGAAAATAATCTATTAAAGTAAGAAACCGCATGCAAGGAAACTAGTCATACACTCGGAGCTTTGACGAGCGCAATAACAGGTTGGATGCTACGCATATCCTTAAATTAATTGGTGCACTTAGAAGAAAAAAAATAGGCCATTTACTAGCAAGTGAAAAAAATTGCACTTAGATAACAAGATGCAAAACTATTGACATTACAGAACTCAACGATGCTTAATTCTACCTCAAATAAAAATTATGGTAGGGGCGTATAAAAAAACGACTAACCATATCGGATCACTGGCAGTTCCATACGCTCGATTACATCAAGATACGTGTGGATACAAGCGAACAGTAATAAACTAAACTGGATTTTGTAAATCAGCAAAGAAGTATTTCGAGAGCACCACGAGACTTAGGCTAATTTAACGTTCAGATGAATTTGGTTTCAGTGTTCGAGCTTAAACTCTATCTTAAGAAGCTAAATATTCGATAAATAGACGAGTATCGTGTAGATATCTCACTAATATACAAGTAAAAACTATCATGCAGAAATAACTAAAACGTAAAAGAAAACAAAAATTTGATCGTTGATGCTCAAAGCAAGAACCATAAAACTATATAAACGAAGCAAAGGAAACGATACAAAAATCTAGGCTAAAGGTACTACAACCAACGTATGCAACAAGCATGCTTGATAAAGCAGGCGCACATAGAGAGACAATCGAGAAATAGCACCACCAAACATAGCCAGTTTGTTTTAAGAACAAATCAGAACCACCATATGTTGTCCTAAGCCTAAATTTCCTCGCCATCAGATGACATCCTTTATATATAATTTTTGTTCAGATACTTCCGTATCCTAGACACGAGAAATCACACTTTTAATGCAATCAATAAAAAATAATTGCATATATTCCGGATACTGGGATTATTTGTGTAACACACACTTGCCGGATGATTGCACCTGTTAAAAAAATAACACCTCCAATTCTTAACTACAAAAATTGCTTTTCAGATTATCAATCTGAAAACAACTAAGTATCATCACACGCGCACTGCTGTAGGGTTCAAAAAGAACACATAAATGTTCGTTAAAGTGTGTAAACAATGTAAAGGTAACGTGTTCGTAGTGACATTAATGAAGATGAATGGTAATGAAAATGATGATGAAAAATGTCGAACGGTTTTTTATGAGAAAAGAATAAAAACAAGGACGAAAGAACGTCAATAAAACCGCAGTCGGGGGAAGAAGAGGTTCAGAACGAGCAGTTCTAGGCCTACACGAAGTTCAGAAACTCGGCACCAAGCTATTACTCCACCAAGAATGTAGACTGAAATAATAATGAAGAATTTCCATCAATATATTCGACAGAACTTTACGTTTGCGATGCAGAAAAAAAAAACTTCAGTTATTTCTCAACCAACGAAAATTCATCAAAAAACTCCATTTCTTCAGAGTGAAGCATTGCGAAATGATTTATGATTCCAAAGAATCGTTTAATGAGAATCGAAGATGATTCCAAGACATTAATTCCAAGCTGAAGTCAAGAAATGACGTAAATATTATCTTCATTCTCTTCCCAGGAATCGTTGGCAGGAATCGCTACTGGCATTATTATGTGCGACTACATCAGATAAATTAGAAGGTGGTAAAAGTTTAGCGTCACGGGACTGGATTTCATTAGATGTGTTCGATGGAACATTATTATCAGGGACTCGTGAGTCAGGCAAACTTTGACCAGGAGCTTTTGAAGGAAGGTTGTTGTTGGTGCACGAATCCTGACATGAAACTATTAAACCGTTGGCGCTTGCTTCATTACAGCTCTTGGCTTTAGCAGCAAGAGATTCTACGTGTTGGACTTTGCTATCGCTAGCAGGATTCTGAGCAGAGATACTAGTCAAATTACTAGTTAATTCTTGACCATCAGATGGCTTACTAGTTTGATCTGCGCTCATTCCTACGTTTTCATGACTAATTCCACACGAACTAGTGGGTGTGGAGACAAGGTTCACGGAACTATCGATGCAACTAGTTGGTATTCCACTTTTATCGTGTGGGAATTCAGCACCATTGTTGCTTTGAAGGTGAAACTGGTTAAGGTTTTGGGGAACTACAGGGCCACTGCCTACGTGGAGGAGATTGCACCCTGTTTCAGCTAGGACCCTAGTCTCCGAAATCGGTACAGAAACATTTTCCGAAGTTTCGACATCATCTCTCGTCACATCAGTGACGGAGGTGACGCTGCTAACGATAGCGACGCCAGCGGTGCCGGAGTGCGGGAACTGAGGTAGACCAACGACATGAGGATGCACAGAATTTCTGAAGAAATAGTGAGGGGAGAATATAAGGGGAGCAGTCATGCGAGGGTTCATGCCTCTCGGCGGTCGGAAGTACAATTGACTAGGAGCAACGTTAAGCGAACTTATATTGGGAAACGCTAAGAAGTGATACTGACTGGAGTACGGCAAATTTGAAACGTGGCTAAGTTGATGGTACGAAGAAAGCGATCTAAGAGGAGGAGGTTGAAGATGATCATTTTCTTGCGGAGCGGAATTATTATGATGATGGTTTGAATTGGAGAAAGTTTGATAGCCAACATACTGTTGGCTGGATGAAAGATGATGCGCAAGATAAGCCTGACTGTTGTAGGTTTGTGATTCAGAGATACCAGCGGCATACAAACCAACGCCGTTCATTGCCGCTTCGAAGTGATGAGCATTGCTGGCGTTTCGATAAGAATTACCATTACTGTGTGTTTGTGATGCACTACCACTAATTTGATTGTGAGGATGATGGTGATGATGATGATGATAGTTAGAGGTTGTTAGTGACGCTGCAGTGTTGGACGTGTGCGCGTGTGATGCCCCATTTCATCTTGCGAATAACCCACCGTTAGGGTCGTGGTGATACTCCTGTAGAAGAGGGTTCGTGAGGGCTGTGTAATCAGCGGCCGACGCTTGCACGTAAGGGGACGCGTAGATAAGCCCACCGCCAGTCTCACTAACGGGCACTAGAGGGGGCATCATGCCCATGGGGGGTGGGGGCAAACTGGTGCCGTTCATGAGGTGTGTGTTTGTGGTGGGCATTTGGATGCGGGCGGGCATGATGAGGGGATGTCCAGTGAGGGGCGTGCCGGCCCTCAGTTGTGAGGGGATGAGGGCCCCAGATGCCAACAGACGCGGTAGATCACCTGAAAGTGCGCCCAGGGCCTCAAAATCTGCAGGGTTGAGGGTAGAAGAAGGGGCCAAGAGGGGACAGGGGAGAAGTGTTAGTAATACATCACAAAGTTAATTGATACCTGGGGCCATACTTTCAAAACACGCTAAGTGAACGTAAGTACTTACGTTCTATTTTCTTGTCTATGATTGGTGGATTTTGCTTGAAAGGCCGTCAATGATTGGCTAATGAACTTACGATCTCTTAACTTTTTTGAAAGTATAGGCCCTAATCACTTCCCTCCATACGGCTAAATAATTGTTGCATTTGCCATGTAATTATACTATTTAATTGAGTCAGAAGTTAAGTAGTATTCCCAACAACTTGAATCACCGTTAAGTTGGTATTATTCGACATGAATAATTAAGAGAAAATAAAAAATCTATTCACTCTAGTGGTTAAATAGCAACAAAAACTGTTAGGAATTATATTAAACATTATTAAATAAAATCAAATAAATTTTGAAACAAAAATTGTTAAAAAGTTTGAGAATTTTGAAAATTATAGATTTGTTTTAGTTATTATTTATTTTGATGAAATATTAATGACAACAAGGATGAATATTATAAGACTTGAAATGAAAAATAACATAAGGATATTGTCTAGACACGCACAAGTTATATGAACAAGCTAGAATGAATTAGAGACGATAATGTATATAAAGGCAGAGTTATTATGCTAGTATTTTTCAGATGTTTAAGCTAAGCATTCTCATTGAATCAATAACGTAAAGAAATTAAATAAACAAAATGACGTTGACACAATGACATTGTAAGTTTTTAATGAACTTTTGATCAAAATAATGTTGTTATGAACAGATTGACAGCATATTATATAGAACGCTGCCAGATAGAAGCGCAATAAATAGAAATGCACGAGTCTACTAAAAAAAATGAATGACTTTAATTTAAAAATCAAAATTATTTCATTTTCGAAGCATTATGATAGCACAGACTTGATAAAAAATATAGTGGTACAGTCAACACACTGAATTCTGAACTATTCAAGATGGTAAAAATTGCATCAAATTGAAAAATATCGGCAAAAAAATCTTAGATTAGAAAATCTGAATTATTCCAGATGGGAAAAATTGCATCAAATCGCAAAATATCGACAAAAAAATCTTAGATTAGAAAATCTGAAGAATTCAAGATGGTAAAAATTACACCAAATTGAAAAATATCGACAAGAATCTCAGATCAGAAAATCTGAATTATTCAAGATGATAAAAGTTACAGCAAATTGAAAAATATCAACAAAAATCTTAGATTAGAACTGAAAACGAGGTTAACTAACTGTCCCAGCGTGGCAAGAGTTCGGACAGGAGCGAGAGACTACCTTGGGGCATGACGAGACCTCTGGTCGAGCTGTCTCTGTACGTCCCGTTGATTATGGCCAACTCCATGAGCTGGCGTTTCTTCAGTTCATCTTCACCATCGTTCTGCACAAACGTCAGGCACAGTGACAAATGTTATCATTTCTACTGGCTTGAGATGAGGTGGTACAATTAATTAATTTAGTAAATAATTATGGCCAATACATTAAATAAATTATGGCCAATTCCATGAGCTGGCGCTTCTTCAGTTCATCTTCACCATCGTTCTGCACAAACATCACGCGCCGTCATAAATGTTATCATTTCTACTGGCTTCAGAAAAAATTAATTCAGACTTGTTTGAACGAAATGCAATAGAAATCCGATAATTGGAATCATTCTCGATCGAAAATTGGAATGCTAAGCGAAAAAACTTTTCTGCAGATGTCACCATCCCTCAAGTCTCAAGTCCCCTCAGCACACCTCACCATCCCTCAAGTCCCCACAGCACACCTCACCATCCCTCAAGTCCCCACACCCCACCTAGCCATCCCTCAAGTCCCCACAACACACCTCACCATCCCTCAAGTCCCCACAGCACACCTCACCATCCCTCAAGTCCCCACAGCACACCTCACCATCCCTCAAGTCCCCACACCCCACCTCACCATCCCTCAAGNGGGCGGCAAGGAGTAAAGTTATTGTTCTGGTCCTCCTGTTGGGGCGGCCAGGAGTAAAGTTATTGTTCTGGTCCTCCTGTTGGGGCGGCAAGGAGTAAAGTTATTGTTCTGGTCCTCCTGTTGGGGCGGCAAGGAGTAAAGTTATTGTTCTGGTCCTGCTGTTGGGGCGGCAAGGAGTAAAGTTATTACCTTTACAAAGAGTAAAGTTGTTAAACTAAAGTAAAGTTATGAACTTTACAAGGAGTAAAGTTATTACAATTGATCCAAACAGAAGACCCATCGGCTGGCGCGCTACGAATGCAGGGACAGTCGTGCGCGTGAAAAAACGCATAGGGAAATGGTGCGCGAAATTGTTAATATTTTAATATTTACGATCATTGTGCACAATGCAGCAGTTAAATTACATTGCGTTAACGCATGATATATAATATATTGTTCATTTATGTACGCGATATAATCATTGCTTCAATAATAGAATCTAATATTTCAAACCAAAAATTCTAAAAGATGAACTAAACCTAATGATTTTTACAACAATAATATTATGATAGAAATAATTTGATTCGGATAATTTAAATAAACATGAATCAATCATCAAAGCTTTCTGAACATTAGTACAAGCCTGCGGTGTGAATATATGAATATAATACCTATAGTTAAATATAAGTAACTGTATCTAAAAAAAATATAACTAGCAGTATTTACAACTAATGTGAATATAAGCAGCTATATATGAATAACATAAATATAACAAATTATACATAAGTATAGTTGTGATTACTTACTTTGAATTTGTCCCTCATTGATCCCTTGCCTCGGACCATAATTTTACAGCAAGTCTCTTGTTCCAACTGTTTTGCTGTCATACCACGAGGGCCCAATATCCGCCCCACAAAATTGAACTGCACACAAAAAACAAACAAGTTACTAAGGAATAAAATACACGTAAGGAATAACAGGACACATAAGAAATAACAGGACACGTAAGGAATAACAGTACACGTAAGAAATAACAGAAATACACGTAATTGTTTCCTATAAGAAAAGAGGGAAGGGCGAGAAGCTTGCCAAACTAAATTACAAAAAAATTACACCATTAATGAGCCACGAGAGGAAATTTCCTAGAAATTAATTGACTAGAAAATAAAGGCACCAGGTGCGTAGAAATAAACATGAATGAAAGTGGAGTAAGAATGAAAAAAATTCCACATTTTGCAGCAACGGTTGGGGCAGTTGGCGACAAACGGCGTCTGGTTAAGAGACAAAATGGCAGGATGAGAACGGCGTGAAACAGAACACTCAACAAAATTAATTAGTCATATTATCCAAGTAGTGACGCACATTCTTATCCACAGCATAGCGTAGCACTGATACGCCGCTCTTTAGTCGGGCCGGCTGGGTCAGGATGTTCCCCACAAGGGAAAAAAGTGCATCGCTACGTGGACAAAGACCCTCTCATTTCCGTGAGTGAGAGATCGGCAGCAAGCCTCTGAACATAAACAATGAGCGCGAGGGGAGCTGAGGGACTGTGCCGGGAATAGCTCGTCTCGAGCTCCACGCACCGCGCTAACGTCATTTCTATTTACCTCACCGCGCTACATCTTCACGCGCTTCCTTCGCTCTAACGAATTCCTTCGTCGCTCCACAGAGTTCCATCGTCGCTCTATATAGAGTTCCTTCATCGGTGTATACAGAGTTCCTTAGTCGCTCCACAGAGTTCCTTCATCGGTCTATACAGAGTTACTTTGTCGCTCCACAGAGTTCCTTCATCGGTCTATACAGAGTTCCTTAGTCGCTCCACAGAGTTCCTTCATCGGTGTATACAGAGTTACTTTGTCGCTCCACAGAGTCCCTTCATCGGTCTATACAGAGTTCCTTTGTCGCTCCACAGAGTTCCTTCATCGGTCTATACAGAGTTCCTTTGTCATTCGTCGCTCTAGAGTTCCTTCGTCGCTCTAGAGTTCCTTCGTCGCTCTAGAGTTCCTTCGTCGCTCTAGAGTTCCTTCGTCGCTCTAGAGTTCCTTCGTCGCGCAACAGACTTCCTTCGTCGCTCTAGAGTTCCTTCGTCGCTCTAGAGTTCCTTCGTCGCTCTAGAGTTCCTTCGTCGCGCAACAGACTTCCTTCACACGCTAAATGACGTCCGTACTACCAAATGACGTTAAAAAACGCTGAATTAACGTTGATTCAACTAAATAAAGTTTATTTCAAAGTTGATTCAATTTGAAATGTCTTGTGGGTAGAAATTAGGACAGGTCTTGGATATGTTTGGTATCCTAAAGTGAGAGGATCTTTGAAATCAATGTGGTTAACGTGGTTAACTATCGAAGATAATCAGTTACCGTAAATATTAAATTTTCGACATCTACGTTGGAATCTGATGGTATCTATAACGTATTCACCGATATACAAGCCTGTAAAACATGAAAAATACTGTAAGGCTATACACAGCGGCAGACAGTAAACATATAAAGCATAGTAAAGCAAGCACCAGCTCTCACCACTCTAAGGCTAGAATATTGAAGTTCAACATTGGAAATTCTGAACATAATAAACAGAGATATGGAGTTATCCTGTTGATATATACCCAGGTGTACTGCGACAAGCAGTGTACAATACGCAATGCGCTGCTTTGCTGCGTAAATGCCTCCTCACACAAGTCGAAAAATCTGACCAAGTTCCGGATTTCAGCGGACTTAGCTGCAAATTGGGGGAACAAAAAAGCCGACGTGACTCGTTTACTTCGCGATTCAATCATCACTGAATAGCACAAAAGTTCTTACGTCAGGAACAAGAGATTTGGAGCTTTAAAAATCCGCCAAATCACAAAACGATCAACGCCGAGAAACGCCTGTCATAGATTTTATATATTTGATGAAGGATGCAATCCAGATTTCTCGCACGAGTGTCGCGTTCAATTGAAACCATTTAATTTTACGGAGCATTGGCACGCAGGAGCTGGCACTCGTAACGATGCATGCTCGCCTGACACACCAAATCGATGGGATCTGAACACGCCTGATTCATGAGCGCCTAACACGAATTCTCGTTCGTACCGCTTCGAAACTGTCCATTTTGTTTGACTTAAAGGAACCAAATAATTTACGCCATGAACAAACCAGGAAAAATGTGGAATTAAGCGCGCATGCCAGGGCTATTTGAGATTAAATTTCAACATAATTTAAAAGACTAATAGTTTATTGAAAAAGTTGAAGAATTTGAACGTTAATAAAATCGATAAAAGCGTTTACTTTTCAGAAATAAAGATTGTTCTAAATTTGTGTTTTTAACGAAACTGACCTTAATCACGTTACGTTATCGATTAAAACAACTAACCTAGCGAGCACACATAACATTTTCAGATTTGAGACGATGTTTTTTTTTAATACAGAACAAAAGAGATGATCACGATAATTGCCCGACGTTCCGAACACGCCGCACGCTATACAGACAACACGACGAAAAAACAGCAATGAGTTGCGAATTAGAGCGGCAACGAGGCTATGCACAATTGTTTTGGATAGTGCAAAGTGTCATGAGCGAAGCTCATAAAGGTCAACGTCTGAAAAGGCAGCAGCTATTTAAAAAAATCGATGCAGCTGCACGCAACTTTGTCGTGCGAGCGTTTCGATCGCTGTCGCCAATTCGTCTTAGATATTAAGATGTTATTATAATACTAACGAAAACTTATGATGAAATGCCCTGATCTGAAGGCATCACATATAGAACGACTGTTTTTTATCAGAGGTTAAATGCATAAAAATCATGATACATTTAAGGTTTGCATAAATCTTGTACCGGGCTTTAAAAGTACACTCTTTGAATATCATATTTTAGAACACAACGCCGTAAGTTGCCTCCCATTCCCGTCGGTGAAATGAGAGTAAGATCTTCGATAGGACATGAAAAACAAATTTCTGCGACGACGCAAGACTTTGTTCGGTGCATTAAAGATAATGATCAGAAATAAGGCCTAAAACAGCACGGCACACCCACCGCCATTTCGAAGCTCCGGCATACATACACGTTCAGGATTAATGAAGATATTTTCAGTAAAGCGCAGTCTTTAAATAAAGAACCGTTGTGGATGTGCGACCGTAAATAATACGCCAGTAGATCCGGCGAGATAACATGCAGCCTTCAAGTGCTCACAGAAATATGTTGTTGAGGCATGGCAGATTTCCCAGCACAGAGGAATGGTTTATCGCTGGAAAATCTTGAAACGGATCGCATGCAGTTGGCTGGGCGGCAACCCACAAGCCAAAGGTGATGCACCAAATTCTAAGGCGTATTGTGCATTATGCAAATTTGTTTATTAAGGGTTAATGATGCTGACCCCCGATGAGGCACGAGATAAGCATTAAAAGTTAATAAGAATGATGAAAGGACAAAAAGTTCAAAAGTTCCAACATTTTGCAATGATTTCAACAAAACTGTGATTGGAAATCAAATATGTATCAGAAAAAATGTATCATTATCTCTTAAGTGTTACGGACGGCGGTATATGATGTTACTCTATACTTTTTCAGACTTAAGAATTAAGTTTGCAGCAAACTTATTTGCACATCAGATAAAAAAATTTGAATGCAAGATTGAAAATTGCCTGAAACGGAAATTGACATTTACATGCAAATATGAGTAATTTACTCTATTTCAAGCGAAAAAAAATATTTGTAGTTCAAATACTACCACAACATTTGAATTAAAATCAGAGATCACATTAGCATCAATGAGCATATCAAATAGCAAGTTAATAATCAAACATAAATTTGGTACCTTCAGGCAAAAAGCGAAGTACATAACACGGATGTAAAAAGTCATCGTTTTACGGCTTTTGTAAAGGTGCTAACGACTACGAAAAGAACAACGTGACACAGCGTCGGAATGTGACCAACGCGCGTGCCAAAACTACAGGCAACGCACCTGTGACGAGTAACGTTGTAAAGTAACGTATTCAGTGTGACAACCGAATACGATACATCTCTAAACGACTTAGCAGCAACTTTGCCCCAACAAATTTTATACAATCGTAAAACGCATTGGAATATGTGTTGAAACGTGTTTTTCATTCGGTGTGATAAAATGCATGACTAAGAGATAGACTATAACCTTATTCTATTTGTACTTCAAATTCATAAAAGTCGAACATCATATTTTCAGACAAGTTCAATCTAGCGTTTGAAGTGGTCCTAATACCACACTACCTCTTCCTCTGTTTCACAGACAAAACCTTTCGAGAAATTGCAATGACTGACACGCGTATCTGAAACACTAACGTTCTTTTTAGCGCATTTTTCTCATTTATGGAAAAAAGGCACTATTGTGCTCGTCATGTCCGTCCGTCTGTCCGTCCGTGACTTCACGTTTTCGTCGACGAGAAAATGCTCTCTATGTCACTTACTGCAGTGAGTACTGAGTTATATTTTTTTTAACGTTTCTGTAGCGACATAGTTTTTGTCGGGCGTCACGTTGAATGATTCATGCAAATACTCAGCAGCAGATCTGTCAGGAATATTATGGTCCCGTCTTGAGCATCGCACAGGAACATGACTCAGCCAAGCTCAGACCCATTCAGTGTATAAACAAACTCAAATGGAGTGCGATCCGTCAAATTAACCGGCCCCCATAACAATTACTAGACCGAACAGCTTATTTAAATGAAAAATTTATTATGACGATAAAAACCATTGTCATTTATAGTTGCTGTTGTCGAATGGTCTTAAAACTTGCTGTTGTCGAATGGAAGCGTAAACTTCCGAAACAAACTCAAATCGAGTTTCATTTCAAAGTTAGGTAGCGTTCAATTATGACATTAAAATTAAAAGCGAATTTTATAAACACGAAAAGATATAAATTTTAAGAAACATCGTAGAGACTTCCTGTCGTTGTTCTTACATGCTGATTG